GGCACCAGGTACGACATTATCAACCACTACTGGACCAGCAACTACGGGAGCACCAAGTACGACTGGATCAACAACTACTGGACCAACAACTACTGGAGCTCCAAGTACGACTGAATCAACAACTACTGGAGCACCAGGTACGACTGGGTCAACAACTACTGGGCCATCAACTACTGGAGCACCAAGTACGACTGAATCAACAACTACTGGAGCACCGGGTACGACATTATCAACCACTACTGGGCCATCAACTACTGGAGCACCAGTAACTTCTGGGCCAACAACTACTGGACCAGCAACTACTGGAGCACCAGGTACGACTGGACCAACAACTACTGAAGCAGCAAGTACGACTGGACCAACAATTAGTGGCCCAACAAGAACAACAACTGGGCCACCACTGTCCACTGGTCCAACAACTACTGGACCAAGAACAACAATAGTGCCATCTCCAACAGAACTGAACCCACCAGTTACTAGTAAGTGTTATGCATTTAATTTAATTTTTCTCACATATATGATATTACTGCTCAGAAATATGCCATGCCTGAAAATGTTTTTTTTTATTTGTTCTAAAAGTAGTTATAACAAGCATGAGACATAGGTGATGCACATTACACATTTAGAAACATTCTCTGCAGAAAACAATTGAGAATCTGATAACTACATAATATGAAAATCATTATGTAATTTGTCTAGCACAAAACTTTAAATCGGTCAACATCTCATCACATCAACACTTTTATTTGTCATAGCTTGTCCACCATGCGAGAAGCCACAAATTTGCGAGAATGGAGAACCAGCAGAATATAGTCATGATGGCCCTTGTTGTCCTGTGTACATTTGTCCAACAGCAGCACCAACAACATTTGGACCTTCAACTGCTACTAGGCCACTAACCCCTACTGGGCCAGCAACAACAACTACTGGGCCACTAACAACTACTGGACCTCCAATAACTTCTGCAACAACTGCAGGGCCATCAACAACTACAGGTACACAACCAACAACTACTGGGCCATCAACAACTACAGGTAAACAACCAACAACTACTGGGCCATCAACAACTACAGGTACACAACCAACAACTACTGGGCCATCAACAACTACAGGTACACAACCAACAACTACTGGGCCATCAACAACTACAGGTGCACCAACAACTACTGGGCCATCAACAACTGCAGGTACACAACCAACAACTACTGGGCCATCAACAACTACAGGTGCACCAACAACTACTGGGCCATCAACAACTGCAGGTACCCAACCAACAACTACTGGGCCATCAACAACTGCTGGTACACAACCAACAACTACTGGGCCATCAACAACTGCAGGTACACAACCAACAACTACTGCGCCATCAACAACTGCAGGTACACAACCAACAACTACTGGGCCATCAACAACTGAAGGTACACCAACAACTACTGGGCCATCAACAACTGCAGGTACACAACCAACAACTACTGGGCCATCAACAACTGCAGGTACACAACCAACATCTACTGGGCCATCAACAACTGCAGGTACACCAACAACTACTGGGCCATCAACATCTGCAGGCACACAACCAACAACTACTGGGCCATCAACAACTGCAGGTATACAACCAACAACTACTGGGCCATCAACAACTACAGGTGGACAAACAACCACTGTGCCATCAACATCTACAGGTGCACAAACAACAACTACTGGGCCATCAACAACTACAGGTACACCAACAACTACTGGGCCATCAACAACTGCAGGTACACAACCAACACCTACTGGGCCATCAACAACTGCAGGTACACAACCAACAACTACTGGGCCATCAACAACTACAGGTGGACAAACAACTACTGTGCCATCAACATCTACAGGAGCACAAACAACTACCGGGCCATCAAAAACTACAGGTGCACCAATCTCTACTGGGCCACCAACAACTGGTAAGTATGTTGGCAAAATAAATATGCTTTCAGTCCGATTCTACTGTGTTTTTCCAAAACATAAATGTTCCCTCACGTAATTATATATAAGTGTTGAAGTCACAAGGGCCGAAAGCGGGCGATATGATGAACAAGGCTTGTACAATATTCCGTCTATATATACGTAAACGTATACGTAAACAAAACGACGTAAAACTAATTCTTGCCCAATAACGAAGGCCAGTCGTTGTATGGAAGTTAATAGATTGCCTTCCTTGTTCGCTGTTTAGAATTTGGTTGAGTTTTCGATCCGACTTAAGGTTTTCTGTCACACTCTCGACATTTTGTGGCGAGAGCAAGGTTGGGAAAGAAAATACGCATATTTACTACAAGACTGGTTGGGGTTAGGGTTAGGGCCACATGTTCTATGCATATGAGATTCTTTTGTTTTTATTATGTAATAAGCAATTTATAAATAGCTATATTTTATACTCCCATGTGTAGAGAAATCCCTGACAAGAAACTATAAGTCAGTCAAGTAATGAAACCGACCGATGTATTAGTTAGATTCTGTCCTACATTGTGTTAAATATAATAACCAAAATATTTAATCAACATTTCTCTTGTTCATTTTAGTCTGTCCGTCACAGCCAGAGTGTCCTGTCACTTGTCCGGAGGGTTATGAACTGACCGAATTTGGTACATCTGAATGCTGTCCGCCGAGCTATGTATGCCTTCCAAGTAAGTTTTGTCTTTGTTATGCTTAGTAAACTGTCGTGTATCACTAACGTCGCGTGACGTCGTGCAATATAATGCACACCAGTCATTTCTCCACCCTCCGAAAAAAGGACTGAAATACATGGATTTTACCCTGGCCCGGATGTTTTGCCCGAGAAAGAGTTCCGACCTCGTTCCCCGCTGTATTACGCAGGTATTCAAAACGGTATTGTCCACGGCAATTACGGGCATCACTTCCGACTACACCATCGTAACAGCCCGGGCTTATGTGGTTGCAATTCCCAGATACATAATGGCGTACACATGCGAACACACGTCGTTTTGTGTATATGTATGCATACATTATTTATGTGTATACCAAAGGAGCCGTGGCAGTAACATTGCGGTTACCAAGAATACAACCCGCAATGCAATGCGACTGATGGATGCTTAGTCATTTTGGCAAGAGAAATATGTTTTCTTTTCAAGACACATTACATGTAATTATAATGATTTTAATAATAATTTCAATACGTAATATCTACATTTGTTTTTATTTTGTTTCTACAGCTTGCCCAGAGGCGTGTCCCATGCCTGATATTGAGTGTCCTCCAGGGCATAGTATGGAGAGCAGTAAAAGTGGGATAAGTCATTGTAATTGCGACGACATTTTTATCTGTATACCAGGTGAGTTCTCCAGAACACATTTTATTTATTAATCAGATCAACAGGTAAATAGTCAAATTACCGATATAGAGGGGGTTAAATAATCTAGTATGTGCGATGAGGATACATGGCTTTGTAAGAGGGCATACATGAGCACTCAGGCAACCAGGGTTGACTGGTGCCCACCTCAAGTGTCATGGCGCACGAAGCCACAGGCGGACGGTAACTAGTCATGAGTCCAGCATTCTGATTGGGTGATCACGTTCTCATTCTTTGATTTATTTCCATTGGCTATCTGACAACAGGACAAGATTACCTTACTTGGCATTCGCAAGGGACGCCCTGGTCAATCATTGAATGACGATGGTCATTAATCCCCTTATACGTATGGTGTATTGAGAGGGTTTGATAACACAGCCGTGCTTCAACAGATCTGACGCGTCGTTCACGGCAACACACGTGTTATACTAGTTTACAGAAAGATCAGACTAAAAAGACAATACAAGTCCCCCCCGAAATAGACTAGCACTGGCACCTGCAGATGTACAGTCTGTTTCATCCACATACGTTTCGTAGACATGGGCAAGATATAAAATGTAATCAGCTATTATATTCGTCAGTAATTTGTACAAAGATTTTATTTTTTTGTAAGCGTGTAATATTTTTTTCCACATGGAATGTCGTAATTCCTACGTCAGTGAAAAAATCTATTTTTTTTACTGTAAATGGAACTTTCATTTTATTTCCCCAACAATGTGTCGCAATTTCAATAGAAGAAAAACACAACCAATTTACACAAAACGGTGTGTAGAGTATTCAAATACTAATAGATAGCACTTAACAACGTGATGCGATTATTATCAACCTCGATAAATGGCAAACCTTATTAATCAACCAGGCCTACAGCCATGGCCACACACTTCCGAAACATTAGCTATAAGTAATATATCATAGCTTTATCAGCTTGGATTTTGTGTAAGATATCCTAAACCAAAATTATACAAATAAATGAGCTTACTACAATAGCATTGTGGGGGTGTAACAATGATAGTCAGATCGCTGTTCTGTTTTTTGGAGACTCACTAACGCTTCACCTTGGCGTTCGTAAACGACGTAGAAGTAGTACGAAAGCAATACACACACGCGCGCGTGCGTTACAGCACCGTGACGCGACTCGGCAAAGATTCGCAGCGTTCACCGTAGAATTCGGAGATTACAGTATGTTTGTAACACGTATATGTACGTCGGTTAAGTTACTATGAGTTAGATATAACGTTGCTTCGTGTTCATGGATTGAAAAATACTTTCATTAATCGTACTCACTGATATGGAGAAATAGCAGTCAGTTGCCAGGCGGGAATAAGTTGTTTACAGTCACCAAACAACGATGAACGGGACGTCAGTTCTCGATTTACGAGAAGTATTTGTAAAATCATAGTAGCTGTTGACATGGAAAGTAAAGCAAGTAATTAAGCTTGCCTTCTTTTTTTCTCCGCGGACTCGGAGTGATCTGTAAACCCCATCCACGCAGCTATTATAATAGAATACTTTTTTTCATTTTAATTAATAGAACAATAGTCAGCTTATGATTTATAACATACCATCGGTAAACACTATTCAAACGTATTGTCATGCAAAACATGGCGGAGTACTACAACAATCATATCATCGGCAACTTTCAGCCAATCAACGCTCGTGATATGTCGTACTAGAAATAGTATGGTATCATACTCCCCAAGTTAGTGCCAAAAGACAATGGCGCAGCTAACTTATAGACACAAAAAAAGCAATATTATTTCCCGAATGTTTGTAACTATTATGACATGTAATTCTTATAGATTGTAACCCGATGGATTGCCCACCGCCTCCCACTTGTAGCAATGGAGAAGGGCTGCAGTGGAGCTACAAGAGTGATTGTTGTGATTACTTTCAGTGCATGCCAGGTGAGACAAATACAGATTGCAATTTTCAGTAAATAACATATTTGCCGAATACTCTGTAAACCACGCTATATATTCGTTATTAAGTTAATACTTCATTTATGAATAAAGGAATCAAACCAATTCATTAACTTGCTCCTGACATGCGAGGGGGGGGGGATCTACATACGAATATTCATTTCCGCACATACATTCTAAACAATTAGCAAACAGTATTTATAGTCTTATTTTTTGTTTTCTAATCAGTGGCACAAGTCGAAGAGTGTGATCCTGAACTCGTGGTTCAGACTCTTAATATCGGAGCATGTACCAGCATAGGCGAGGTACAAATAAGCCGTTGTACTGGCATGTGCCACTCAAGCACGTACACTAATGCCTTCGGAGACTTGGAGAATAACTGTGACTGCTGCACGGCTTCCGGAACGGAAACACTTACTACATCTATGTTGTGCGAAGACGGTGTACACGATTTACAGTATGAACACATCACTGCGTGTGACTGTCTAGCCTGCACCGCTCCAACCACCGTCCCCACGCCACCTATGGTCGTCCGTGACATTCTGGAGGAGTTGTCGCCAGTCTTTGTATAAAATGGTAATATCGAATCATTATTAAGGTCAACAATGAATGAATGAATGAATGAATGAATGAATGAATTTAAGTGATTTAAGTAATTAAACTACAATTTCTTCAAGCTATACAACCTCGAACCATGTAACATGCACAATGACTTTATCATGAAGAACTATGTCAGTTACACCGAAACCGTCCAACATAATTTTGTTTTTACAGCTTGAAATAGACACTGATGGAACTGTTAATATTGTATCATTCGTCACCTCTTTCTTTTTTAGGAACCAGTTCGAGGAAGACCGCAACAGACTATTACTTGACATTCATTTGTATATACACTATTAGGGCGTGAGACCAATAGATTGTGCTCGATTTCTGCCCTTTAGATTGCATTTACGATACATAGGGGGTAACAAAATGGGCACATATCACACTGCCAAACTGTTTTTATAGTATTCTAATACATGCATTATTTTGTTTCTTGCCTGCCATAGCTACTTGTACTGCGTGGTTCAAAGGTTTATATACACAATTAAGATTTCTCACTGCCTTATTAGTTATTTTTTGTAATACTTATTCTTAAGGCGGTTTTGACCTATTAGAAACTGCCGTGAAAATCATGAACGAAAAACCTTTATGCTAAAAAACTCATGAACAACTATAATCGTGATGTTTATACCTAATCGTACTCTACTCCGTGATTTTCACTAATTTCACCTATTACATAGTATATAGGAGGTGTGGTAAACTATGTAGTTTAACTCGGTATGTGTGTTCTTTGGAAGCAACCCGCTTTTGTTAGGTGTTGCTTACTGTATTCACCGAGTCAGCTAGGAGGTACTGTCAACGTGCTTCTTCGAGTTTTAATAAATGCGCATTTCTTTTCAAAATATGTGTTTCGTACTCAATTATTTCACTATATGCTTCAGTTTACAAGAAATGATTGCTGTGTATTGAAGTGAAGACAGGCATTATCCGGCAACCTTCTGAAAGACGACTTGTGTTATGTTCTACAATTATTGACAGTGTGTAAACCAGATCTCTACATATTCCATTTATATATATAGCGTCCTCTTATATGACGTATAAATGACGTATATGGGTGAACGCAATGTCGTTCAAATTGATCACTGTGTTCAGTACAATAAAATATTATCTCTTGAAGGTCGACTACTGATCAAAACGTTATCGATGATTCGAACGGCTTTTGTGATACCAAATTACGTCATAAATACGCTCAGCCACTAGAGGGCGCAACTCATAGGATTTGTGTATTGCCTACCATCTTGCCTTGTTGGGATTTCCGTTTATATGAGCTCAATTTACTTAGCTAACTATGACACTGTACCCGAAATGCAACACGGTAAATTAGCAAACAGATAATCGAGCTATATTGGGATCTTGAGACTATAGGGCAGAAAGGTGTTTACACCATATTGGATTTTCCAAAGGATTATGGGATAGAAAATTAACATTAGAGGGCGTATTTTTTGGGGGGGGGACTTTTTCATTACAGCCCTTTACTAACATCAGCTGCTAACCTCCCCTGTTTTCAAGCAAAGTGTTTTTTTTTTAAATTGTATGGTTATATTGTTGGAATTTCAATTAATTTCATTGGGAAGATTGTTTAAATGGTTGTTTTTAACGTGTTTACTTTTTTGGGCTGCAAGCTGTTTATCTGTAGAGATAGGTAGGTATGTGTATTCGATTTTCACTCTTCTTTTATTCTAAGTTATGTTTTATTATTTTCCCTATCACTATATGTCTATCTTATCTACTAAAAAGTGTTGGTTTGATTTCAAGTACGTCGTGACAGGGTCCAGAATTAAAACAATGGGGGAAATTCACAGTTTGGGATTTAATTGTGAATAGTGACTGACACCTTTTTTCAAAATACCCTGTAGGACACACTTGCTAGTCTGAATTTGCTAGAATTATGGTAAACGTTCAAATGCTATTTCTTGTCAGAGTTGAATTGAAAAGTGTTCCAATACACGTACATTCGCATGTGTTCCTTCGTTTCTGTTCAATAATTCCGGCGATTCCATGTTTTACCTTTTAATCTGCATACAGCAGATCTTTCGAATATTTGAGACCCCCAAAAGACCTAGTTAAAAGTTCACAATAATTAATGATCAAATAGATGAAACATCCCACAACAAAATATTACTCAAGCAGAACCTACTAATAGTTCTTTGTAACGGATCGTAAATTTACTGCATGATTATTGTATTGACAGGATGGAGTTAAATGTATGCTACTGTAAAGCATTTCAACAAAATACGAATCTCCTACAAATATAAAGTATGTTGATTTTTAAATTATTGTATAACTAGCTGAGCAGCTGTCAATTTAATTGCGATTTGATATGACGATGGTTACAAATCATTTCCAGAATACAGACGACTGTGACATGTATCTCTGAAAAGTACAGCATTCAATAGAATAGACACTTGACAAGTCAATCGCAGAAAATGTTGTATGCTATAATACAGATACAACTGATCACTTACGATACATATAACGCATTAACCGGTCTCGGTAGTGTGTACCGCTACAACAATATTGTCGCCCCTCATTTGGTACAAACCACCGGTGGCTATACATAATTGAACCAATTATCCCGGAAGAAATTGAAGCTCTTTATGCTTTAAACTATGTATCCGTGCCGCGGCAATAATACAATCAGTTGGCCATGTACGTCACAGATACAGGAGAAGTGATATATTCGATGCTGTGAAGCCAACAACGGCGACAAAACATAGTGTGGGTGAACCCATAACGATCACGGACGTGTTTACGGAGGTCGAGGGAACACATCATCCTCACTAAGGTAAGTTGTAGTGCTATTGAATGGCGACCCGTGTCGATCGATAGGCAGAGAATGCACACAGGCTACGGTCGTCTTTATATCGTGGGAGAATAGTATCAACAAACGAAATAATGATGTAACTGCCAATTTAGATATAATAGTAATTACACGTTTGATCAAATTCCTAGGCTTCACCGCTAATTAATTAATAGTAGAGCTTTCGATAATCGCAGCTGGTGTTTTTTGTACATTTTTTAAATATTCAATGTTAATTGATTAAAAAATCGTTCTTTCACATTAAATCATTAAGCAGTGCCTTAGTATTATGTATCCTGTTATGACACGTATTGCACCCCGCTTGTCATATGGATGGGTAGTTGTCTATATCTGATGTAGAATAAATCATTGCGTTACGATGAAGCTAAAGCTATGCCGAATTAAGTCTTGACGATGTTTATCCACTCGTGAATCAGACAATGACCTTATGTGTCAATGACTTTCACAAATCATCTATAACAAACTGCTTTGTTTATGTTGGAAGAACAACCTCTGCTTGAAAACGTAAGACAATTTGTAGTAACTTCTATTGTTATCTTGCAACAAATAGTTATTGAAAATATTCTTGTTACTATGGCAACAAGTCCATATATAAATCTCAACCAACATCTAACCGATTGGTCCTTGTTTCCAGGGGCTACGACAAATTGAACCAATATTATGAGAATCCATTCATTGACGTTTTGACTTGTAAATGACAAATCTTTCCAGAAAGTGATATTTTTATGACCCACTTACCGATTAGTACTTGTTTTCAAGGACAACCTGTCCTGAAAATCGATCCATAAATTGTTTGGCTAACAATAAAAATACCCGAAATAGTTGTTTCCTGTAGCAACCAGCACTGCTTCATTGAATCCGTACACAAGTTGAGTTATACATAAAACAAATTCAAGCTGGCCGAAGTAATCTACTAGCCTGGAATTAAGCTTCCCTGAGTACACGCAAGAATGACCTTGCGAATCACCATGTAAATAAATACCTACTTGACACAACATTTTTATGTCATTACTTATTGGCTGAGATAAGCGCGGATTGGCCTATCAACATCACGTGAGGTTTGTGTTTATAGTTATTCATCATCATTTTAACAAGCGAGTCAACAAAGTCGATTTATATAATATCACGTGATCACGGCTTTCGTACTTTACAATGGGTACATTGTGGTAAATAAGGCCCGCTCTCGACAATTTATACTAATTTACTGGTTCATTATTTGTATATTTTTCTAACGAGCATAGACAGCTCGATTTGATTTGATTTGATTTGGTTACTATCAACTTAAATCACTTTACTCTATAAATCACGTTGTATTTGTCATGTTCATATGATACAGAGTTGACGCTATAGAATCCTTCGCATACAAATCGAGAGCAACCGATATTACATATCACCTCAGACTAGTAATACAAGTCTGAGATATCACATAACACACCCTTTACCTCTTTGAGTGTGCTGGTTGTTACGCCCCTTTGTCTCTTTCGGCATATAACGAATAATGTTAAAATTCATTTCGTTACACGGATGCATTTAGCCAAGCCGTAAAGGGCGTGACAAATGGCGGCCATCAAATATAAACCACAAATATTCGTTATTACCTATCTCTATTACCCTTTGACGGTTCTGATTTTCGCCTCGCATCGGTACGCTGGGCGAGATTAATTCTATCAGGTATTAACCATTTAAACTCAGAGAGTATAATACTAGTTTCATTAAACAAATAACAAAAGAAACTATTTTATTGCGATTATTTCAACATTCTTTGTTTCTTATTTCCCGTAACATCATATCAACCATGTGTTACTGTAACCAATTTATATTTACTACAAGATTGGACTTTCAATTCAAATGTTCAGTTATTTCTATTGAAACTAATGACTTTCACGTCTTATTGAACTAGCCGTAATAGTCGCCCCATGCGCACAATTTCACAAGGTCACTCAAAGCCCCGGTGCTCAGACAAGATAAACACTGGGACATGTTATATGCTTTATGATAAATGTATTTGCAGAAAGAATTCAGAATATATGATTTTGCGTCACCTGGATTGCGTTCGGTCAGGGCGCCGAAACCATGCTACAAAGGGCCAAAGACTCGAAAGATGTATTCAATATAGTATGCAATAAGGCATATGATTGGTTATCCATATGCCTACATTATTGCACATTGTTTATAAACTACGAACATCATTTTTGTAAGATAAAAAAGATAAAATCTGATAGTTTTCAAGTTAGAATAGAAATTTACAGAAGGAGTAAACGGGCGCCTTTCGATATTTGTTTTACTGGTGTCCATAACGCTCAAAAGATTTAAAAGGTGTGTTATTCGATAATTAGTCTTGATTCTTAAGCGACGGCCGCGATTGGTCTTGGATTCCATGGGTTCAATTTATATAATATGCAATGAGATTTCTGCCAAGCATTAGTAAACATAACCCCAGCAGAGTGTGAACTGACTACTCCACATGATGGCAATAAATGGATTGGTGACTTTGCGTTTATAAACAAATCTTTTCAAATAGGATTTATACTGTATATTACATAATAACCAAAAATCCACCGTCATCTTG